AAGGCTTGCAGAACTCAAAAGCTCTAATATTTTGAGCGTTAAGCTTAATTGTAATTAATGGTGCTACTTCTGGTGCTCAGAGCAGAAAGTTTAATGCATTATTTATCCATAGATTTCTGGCAACCACTTGAATGCATTTTATGTAAGTGAGGCCTTAAGAGTCGTTCAGTTCTCCTGGGCTTGTTCTAGTTACTTTGGGGCACAAGAAAGTTAATAGTTGGTCCAGTGCTTTTGTAAATATCAAGGGTATCATTGGATGCTGCCTTGGTTAACCTAATGATTTTTTTTCAAACCATTGGTATGTATGAGTTGATTTAAAAAAAAAAAAAAAGCAGAGGCTTCTTAAATATAGTCTGTTCTGAATTAAAGGGTGTGGTGTTGGCTTTGAATGAGCTTGATGCAGCAACAAGCATGCAGCAGTTGGTAAATAAAGATGGATTTTCTTTTGTTCTGCTGGTGCTTGCTGCTCATTATTCTCCACTTACCCTGTGAGCTTCCCAGGGAGTGGCAGCTGTTTCTGATGTTAGACACTCTATCAGTGGTAGACAGCTCCAGATTTGGTGAGATACTGTTGTGGGGAGAAGAGGAAAATAACCTAACCCTGCATTGTTGTAAATCCTCAGTAGAATTAACTTTTCATGAACCAAAAGAGTTTTGTGTTTTAACTTTTTCTGAAATACTCAGGCATAAACATGCTTTACAGTATGTGTTACTGTGAAAAAGCTTTTCTGGCATGAGATGGATTTACATTTTAAGTGTGTGTTAAGTATTTTAATGTGCAGTGTGTGGGGGCAGACACAAGACAATAAAGGGAAATCAGGCTATTACAATTTTTGTGTATATTTTCAGATATATACAGTTTGGGAATCTTTGCAGTTTGGAAATTGCTTGGAGTAAACAGAATGGTACATAAAGATTTTTAAATAATAAAGCTAGCAAGATAGAGCGGAGTCTGTTTGGTTCTAGGATTTTATATGTAGGATTTATAACCCATGCTTTTCTTTCCTGTCTCTGCAGTGTTAGCATTCTGTTACTGAAAACAAAGAAGGCTCTGCCAGGGCATTACACAAGCAATGAATCACAGAGGAAAAAATGTTTTGCTTTGTAAATTGTTCACTTTTCCATGGTGGATCATTATTACTATTATTTTGAATGTTGTTTGATAGCATTTGCCACACATGCTTGCATTTACTGTACTCGGTACAATTCTTCTAGTGTGACTACGTAACTATTAATATTAGAGACTTCAAGTAAGTTATTGCTTATGATTGTTAAAAACAAAACTGCAACGGGAACAAAAAACAGAAAAAATCTAAGCAGTTCCATTCGCTCTTCAGGCATGATATCTTACTGAGTATATCAGAGAAGGGAGAAGGTGTTAATGTTTTTCAGTCAGCTTTGTTCCAGTGATTCCACATAATTATTTTTTGTCTGGATTGACAAACTCCTTTTCTGCCTGAAATACTTGTGTTTGCTGTTGTGATCAATGTGGTTCTCCTGACAGGTTCTAGGAAGTTTATAGTGTTCCAGGTTATCACAAAAATACAAACTTCTTTCTTAAGAATATGCACTTTGAACATTTTCTCAGTGACTATGTTGGTGAATCTGTGTTTCAGAACTTCTGTAGAGGAGCGGTAGTTTGCTCGGGCTGGAATGTAAAATTATACTTACAGATTATCTGCCTGAGAAGTCACACACCAGGCAGTGTCTTGCCACTTTGCTGCAAGATACAGTAGTATAACCTCAGTGTGTTATATAATAAAATTTATACCACAGATGCTGTGGTGTGCCTCAAACTGTCCTTGGCAAGAGCAATAATCAATAATATGTATGCTTGCCTTATTACAGGACTCAGTAAGCTCCAGGCATGTGGAAAAATTTAAAGTTTAAAATTACTTTAAATTTAAAAGGTGGATCAGGAAAAGGAAACAGCTAAAGCAATGGATAAGGGAAAGTCCAAGTAAAATGCTCCTTGCAGAATGCCTGGCAGTAATGCTATCCTTGACTTCTCACACAGAAAGAGTGAAGGAAGAGTAAGTGTGGGGGAGGATGCTGAAATTATAACCTGATTCTTTTCAGTGAAGTATCCATAATTTTACACAAAATCACATTGCACTGTCACAAGCGACTTTTCCTCTTAGATTAGATGCTTATGTTTGGCTCTCATACTTTCTTACAGCTTTATCCCACCAATCTGTTTCTCTGTTAGAAACACATCTTCTAACAGGATTAATCACAGTGTTTAAAATGGTGTACTTCATCTATATATATATATATATATATATATAGATGAAGTACACCATTTTAAACACTGTGATTAATCCTGTTAGAAGATGTGTTTCTAACAGAGAAACAGATTGGTGGGATAAAGCTGTAAGAAAGTATGAGAGCCAAACATAAGCATCTAATCTAAGAGGAAAAGTCGCTTGTGACAGTGCAATGTGATTTTGTGTAAAATTATGGATACTTCACTGAAAAGAATCAGGTTATAATTTCAGAACCTACAAAAAGTGTTCCCTGTAAATAACTCCAGGGAAGACATGTAGCATATATTAGGGAGTAAGGGAAATGAAAACTCTTGGTCTTACCTCTCTTCAGATATTTTTCATCCTGTCCAATCTGGATTTAGTCCTAAATGCAGGTATGATAAGGGGTATGTGATGGTACTGATGTCTCCTGAATCTACTTTATGCAAGAGAAAATACCAACGAGTGAGGTATGTAGCAGTGCATTCCAAAATTATGATAGTCCAGGCAGCCACCTTCCCAACCTGCTTACCTGTCAAACCTCTCAGCAAGACTGTGCCTGGTATCTTCTTGATCTTCTTGTCCCTGTAGTCGTGTCTGTGGTGTAATAGTAATGAGATTGGAGTGATTGCAATGATCTGAGCTGAGTTGGACTGATAATTTAAATGTGAAAGGGTTCATAATCTCCTACTGATCCCAGAAAGTTTGCAGCTTTTAATTAAGGTCAGAATTAAAAAGATGACGACAACAAAACCTTCTACGTTTTCTGCCTTGCTTATAAATGTTAAGTCATGACAGCTTAGGTGAGTTCTTCTGAAATTCCTGAAGCGACAATGACATTTTTGTAAGCCTCTTATAGGTTAGTATAGCACTTGCAGATGTAATAGACATCTCTGAAAGACTGAGAAGGTTTGTTCTCATTCCTTTTCCTCTCTCATCTTTCTTGTCCTGCATCTTGTTTCATCAGTGCAAATGGGTTTTCTACAGGCATGGCCACTATTGGAAAGGTAGCTCTGTGTGATTCTCCCCTCTGGTTCGCTAACTCTTAGCTTTTTGCTTTAGATTAGAAAATCAGAAGTCTAAAGAGGGCTAAACAGGTGAAAGCAGCAGTGGTGTGAGCCTTGGGCTTGCTTGTGCTTCTGCGTGCAGGAGAGAAAAGTATGAGTTTGAATAGAGAAGAAATGACACAGCTGGTGCCTGAAGGAAGTTGAAACTGCACCACAGAAGGAGAGAAGGTCTGTGGGGAGAGGAAGGAGGCAAAGCAGCTGCAGTGGAGTTCCTGGGGCAGGGTGCATGGTGCTGGGAGAGGAATAACTGACAGGAGAGCTGAGCAGCAGGAAGAGAGGGTGTTAGTGGAGGCTGGGAGATCAGGAGAGCAGCAGAAGTTTGCCAGAGCCAAGAAATCTGGAAAGCCTTTCTTCTCACTGCCCTTGGTGGTTGTTTGAAGAACTTGCCAGCAGATGAATCCGTAGGCCCTGGGTACCAGCCGCTGCAGAGGCAGTCTCATGGGGTGGGCAGGCACACTCCTGCTGTGGCAGACCAGAAGCAAGCTTGGCTTCTAGTCTGCTCCCTCATCCTCTCCCTGATGTTGAACAGACAAGTGAGAAACTGTACTGGAGGGAGGAGGGGATAGCTGCTGCCCGGCTGTGGGTGCTTTGGAGTGACGACTTCTTTTTTTTTTAAAATAACTTTTTTTAATCAGTTGTTGAGCTGAGCAGAGATGAGAAAGTGTGGCTAGTACCCTGATTTGAGTAGCACCTTGAGTGAGGCTTTTGTGATTCAGCCAAATAGAAACATTACTGCAGAACCTTGTAGAACCTATAGATCCAGCTTGACACCATGTAAAGCTATTTGATATTCTGGAGAGACTGGCTGAGAAAATGATAGCGTGGGCAGTGAGCAACGGGGGAAACTGAGGCACACATTGAAGAGCCACGGGGGGAGCCCATCTTCCTTCTCTGAAGCCCAACTTGAGGAAATCCAGTAAATAACTGAGGTTCTAATCTACTGTTGGGGATTTTGAACATGGCTGTAATACAGTTACGTGACTATTACCAGTGCAGGTTACTCAGATGCGCAGTAGCATGTTGTGAGCAAGGCATGTTGTCTCTGACAAAAAAAGGTAGAATATCTTCCAGAAGAGATGTTTGTTTTCTTCTTTGTGGTGGGTATACATCATCCAGTGTTTCCCCTTCATATTGTGGTGTATCATCTTGCGTTTCATGCTTGAGATGTTGTGAGAGGAGTGAGTGATGTTATGTAACTTAAGCAGAGAATTATCTTTTTATGTTCTAAAAGTGACTGTTGGTTTGATAAAGCAGTTGACTAATTAGTAAATTACCCATTGTTGTTTAAAATACTTGCACTGCAAAATGTAAATGAAAAAAATTTCTCCACTTGTCAGTATGAAAAATGACAATAGCAAAAATAATACATAGGACATCTGCTCTGATTTTTTTTTTAAATTTAAAATGCATTTAAGGCAGATGTTGCAGAATTTGAATGGAAATCAGAGTAGATGGAAGAACAAAACATAGCTGTTTACCTTTTATGAAGTCCCATTTTTATGGTTAACATTGGTAGCAATATCTGACTCAGTGCCTGTGTTTTTCCACTGTTTGTATCAGAATGAACTGAATGTTCATCAAACTGCTTCTGTGTTAGGATGACGTATAGTTTTGATATTAAAAACCAAATTATTGGCAAGTCAGTGTTTCAGGGTGTTTTCTGATGTTCTCTTTTTGCCCATTCCAGGAGAATACATAAAAACATGGAGGCCACGGTATTTCCTTTTAAAGAACGATGGCACGTTCATTGGCTACAAGGAACGACCACAGGATGTCGACCAGCGGGAATCACCTCTAAATAACTTCTCAGTAGCTCGTAAGTGTTTTACATGCTCCTTCTCCCAGTTTGGGAGTTGGTATCTTCTTGTAATCACAGGACTGATAAGCTGCATCAGTAATGTTCAGATCTGCCCAGACCAATGTATCTAAACAGTAAATGTGTTTATTTGAAATGATGTTTCTCAGTTGTGACTGGGATGGGGAGTTTTGGTGCTGTGGTTTTTTTGCAACTTTCTGCTAATTTACTGTTTTGGTTTATAGAATAAAACAGGTTTATAGAATAAAAATTAACATTTTGTATGTTTGTTATTCAGTAAGTTGCTTTAGAGTGAAAATTAACCCAGGCACATGGTCTCGGTATTTGGCAGGTAGGCACAGCGGAAACATTTCTGTGTTCTGCTACCAGATCTGGATTCAAGTGGCATTGACATAGGTCCAAGTTACTTGATTGTTACTGTAAGAGAACATGGAGTGAGCACTACTTTTAATGGAAGACACTCAGTTTTTCTTAATTTTAAACAAAACCCCAAATTTTTTATATTAGCTCCAACAAAAAGCATAAAAATCATAAAATCATAGCATCTCCTAACTTCTGCTCTCTGTCCTATTCAGAATTTTCCAGCTTCACTCAGGAGCTGCAGCACAGGATGTGATAGAAGACTCTGAAGAGAATTTCAGTTTTTTGCTCATGTTTTTAACCTTTCAGAGTATCATTCCAGCTTTTATTTTCTTCTTTTCTTAATTTTTCCTATCTCATGATTTCCCTGCATCTAGTTCCACCCCTTAAAAGTAGATCATTGTGGCACCTGTTATTAGCAATGATGGTTCCCTGTTCGTGACAACTAGTGGAAGTGAAGTTCTACAGAGTGAAGGGTAGGGGCTTTCCCTCTTTGTTACAGGGTAGCTTGAAATATATGGTGTTCATCTTTGTAGTTGACCTTTAAGCAGACAGATTTATTTTGGAATGCCCTGGGCCTGGAAGAGGCTGGGCAGCACTGGGGATTAATCCAAATGTTCCTTTTTTTTCTGTTGGTAGCAATATATACCTGTTCTGACTGATGATGGGAATAAATAATGGACGAGCTGTTGCCTGGTGCCTCTGTGCACCATGCCAAGAGTGCTTCAGGGTTTTTTGTCTTGGTTTAGAGAGAGAATTGTCATAGAGTTTTCATTTTGGTAATGATGTGGTATTTTACTCTTTAGACTGGTATCTCCTTACGGATCAAGAAGGTAAAGAAAGGCAGCAGAAAGCCATTAATTCATAAATTAATTCAGTACATGGTTTGTAGCCAGAGGCTTTTAACAAATGCACTTTTTGCAGGACACTTCCTGGTGCTGCTAACTGCATTACTTATGATAATTATTTACTGCAGCTCAGAACTAAGGAGTAAAAAGGATGTGTCTGTTGCCTCCTCTTTGTGCAAGTTGCTTTCAAAAAAGGGTTAACTTAAATAGGTTTTCACAACAGGAATATGGTGATTTTGGGGGGGCAGATTGAGCCCATCAGTCTTGGCATTTACAGATAAGCATGTTTGTTACCATGGTATTGGAGCATTGTCGAAAAAGACTCAACACGTGCCTGTGAAGTAAAGGTGTAGCCTTTATAAGAGGGATTGTGGGGAAAGTGCTAGAGTTAAGGATATTTCTAGCAGTGACTCTTGCCTGGTGAACCAGCAGCGGGTTGGGAAGGCCTTGGTAATTACAAGGAGGCCTTCTTGCTAACAGTGATTATTGTGGTTTTGGGCTCACTGAAGCAGCTGTTGCACCACCAGGATTTAATTTCTCAGGTAGGCACTGGCACACACTGCTGCCAGAACCTGATGTGCGGTTCCCTTCTGGATACCCTCCATGCTTGTATCATTTGGAGGTGTTCACCACAAGTTTTCCCTTTGAACCTGCTTTGCCTGGTGCTTTTATTATTTGGTTTAACTTGTTGAGTTCATGTGAGGGAACTCACAGGCTCAGGCCAGAACACAGCCTCATGCTGCTGAGGCAGCCTTGCAGAAGCCTTCTGCCAGTAAAAGGTGGGGGAAACCTTTCTTAAATGTTTTGTAAAAATTGATCCTTTTTTTTCCCTTTTTTCTTTTTTTTTTTCCTTTCAAAAGACCATGATTGCCCTGACTTTTTCTTGTTAATTAGTGAACTAGATTTTGGTGTGTGCTTTTTTTTAATGAGATGGCAGGCTGTCGCTGTCAGTCTGTTCTTTGGAAGCAATCCCGTGTTTCTGATTAAAATCTTTACCCTCTTCTGCTGTAAAATAATACAGGGGTTTTTATCTTTGCAAGCTAAAGGTTGTTTGTTTGGGTTTTTTTTCATGACTGGGAAACTCTTTTTACTTGTTGTGTAAAATTCATATTAAATGATTTTGTCAACACATGAGAGGTAGGAAATACTAAATTCAGGAGAAAACCATGAAAGAAGATAACACCTAAAGATGATTTGTCTCATTTTTTTTTTAAATTACTTTTTTCTCCATTTATTTTCCCATTTAAAATATCTCTATACCCAGGTTTGTAATTTAATTCTATGTGTAAGAGGTTTATTTTCCCTGGAAGTTACCTATTGGTGATTTATTTAAATCAAAACAAAAAAAACTGAAGCAAAACTCCTGAAAGATGTTGCATGAGCATTTAACTTTGATTTTCCAGTCATGTTTGTGTTCTGTACTTCACCACTGGCAAGACAGAAAGAATGGAAAGGCCTGTACCTAAATAGTTCTGCTTCAGGGACACTGCAGATATATAACCAATAGAGCCTGTGCTGTAAATCTGTGAGATAAGTAGCCTTCATACCAGTTGTAATCTCAGATTATCATGCATGTTGGCCTATTAAATTATAAGCCTTTAAAACCATATAGCTGAAAAGAGCAGTATATTGTGAAAACCACATGGAGAGAGAGGCTATTCCTGTTAGAATGAAAGGATTATTTCTCCCGCTGTCAAAAAGGAGAGTGCATTGTGGTGGTTTTATTTTACAGCTGAAAATGTAATTGCTTAACAATGAGTGCTCCTTTTGGGACAGAACTGTGTGTCTGCAGTCAAGCATTTATCACTGGGCAGGGGATGGTCAGGTAGTGGACAGATTTTTTTTCTGTGTGTTGTTACCAGGGGCCACCTTAGTCCTGGTCTGTAACTTGGGGCTCCCAGCTCTTGGCTTTTGCCGTGCTGAGCTGCTTGGGGGTGAGTTTATCCTGGGGTGCTACCAGAAAAGGAGCACTTCAACGTGATATTCCTGATTGCCTTTCCAAAGTTTTATTTATTCATCGTTGTTGCCTGATTTTGTTTTTCCCCCTTCCACCCTCTCCCTCTTCCTTTTTCTGAAAGAAACCAAAGAAGGAATAAGAAAGCTTCTTCCTTGACATTATTGTTTTAAAGTGTGATGTCATTTTATAGGGAGCAGATGACACTTTCATTGCAAGCAATCTGCCTTTTAGCTTAAGTTCTGGGGAAGCAAATATTGTGACATTTTAGAAAGTCACTGGGATAATACTAAGTGTCTTTCAAATACAAAATGGTAATTTACATTTGAATGCCTTGGTGTCTATTCCTGTTAAGAACCATTTCTCTGTCCTGCTTACTTTAAGAGACCAAATGCCAGGAAAGAATCAAGAGGTTCTTCAAAGCAATTTAAATAATTTTTAACAGGCTGCTGTTTATAGTACTTACTTTGTTACAAGTGGGGAATACTTATGTTGGTCTGTTTGACAAGAAAAACTCTCTTCAAAGTGGGTGAGTGACCCTTGGCCTGTGTATGAAATGTGAAGCTTTTTATAACAGAACCCCCAAACATGCCATGAATCAGGCCTAGTATTATATAGCAGCTGTATCTGTGCTCTGCTGTAGTGGTGCATGTTGCAGTACGTGATTATAAGAAGGCATGTTTGGTGCTTCTCTAGCTTGCCCACTACAGTAAAAAGCATAGCTTTAAAAGTAAGGAAAAATCTTACTGCTTCGTTGTTTTGTTGTTAAAAATCCGTGTGATTGTTGTATGTGGGGAGAACTAAGTGGTAGCTTCAACTGCTTCCTGAAACCTATGTGGTACAGCATTTTGGTAAGGCAATTTAAAAATGAAGTCTTATGTATTTTTTGGTATGTGCTGTTATGATTGAACAGGGTAATTAGACAGCATATTGTTCACTAAACAAAACACTTCTATGTGACATACTTGAATTATAGTGGTTATTAACTGACAAATCTCTATTATTCATCTTGCTGTATGCCTTAAAGATTGCTGGATCAGCAAGCTTAACAAATATCAATGGACAGTGCTGATTTAGGGGAAAAGTAGTGATGTTTAATTGGTCCCCTTCTATGACAAAAAAAGCCTTGTGTAGTTTATTACGCTGCAATTAAGTGGTTAAAGTTTAGAGTTCATGGCTAGTTTAAGTATCTGTGCTGCTACTTCAGAATCTGAGGAAATAAATGTGAATGTAAAGGTTGTTTTAAAAAAGTAAGCAAAACCTTTTGGTTTATTTTTTCATCATATTGCACTTCTGGGTCAGTAGAGGAGGACAGCTCTGGATTAGAAATAGCCAGAATTTCTGCTACAAGTATCTGTTAGGGCTGCGTTGCGCAGGCTCCTGGAGGACAAACCCAGCCTTCATCTCATCACGTCAGTCAGACAAACATGGGAGGCAAACAACAAAAATAGAGGAGCAGCTAAGCTGAAGTGGTCAGTCTAGTTGCAGGAATGAGAACTTCTTAAGTTGAATTTATCAGAACTGGGCTTCCTGGGCTGTGTCAGCTCATGCATTTGTGTTCAGCCTTAGCTGTCGTTCCGCGAAAGAGGACAGAGGTGGCTGGAAGGCTAAGCACAGCGCTCTGCAGGCACGGCTGCACTGCTTAGTGGAAGTTCTTTGATCTCAGTGAATGAAGGAGTGCTGTTCATCACACTAAAACCTTTTCATGACTCATTAATAAACTTTCTCTTATCTAACTGCAGTGCTTTAGTAGGATGCAGTATAACCTCAGCATGCTGTTAAAGAAAAATTAGATTTTTATGTCATGAAAAATGCAAAGTTACTCATCAGAAAGCTTATAATTCCAGTAGCAAATGAGGCATGAAATATATTGCCAAAAAATACGGCGCCCAAAACCACTGACAGTAAATATTTTATCCTGGTGCTAATTAAGTGCTTGAATTTAAAACTGATCATTCTAAATTTTCACAATAATAAAATTAACGATACCAGCGTCGCCGTAGTAACATACGCTGTTATTCTGGCTGGATGCTCAAATTGCACATTGCTGATGGTGGAGGATGTTCATAGCTCTAGGAGTAACCTGAAATTTCTTCTTGTATTTGTAGTGCTTTTTTATTTACTTGGAAGTTGATTTAGAACCTGAAGAGAGCCCAAATAATAGCAAACTTGTGGTTTCATTAACTGCATGGAGAGGAGCTTAATGGAAGAAAAAAAAAACCCCAAACATTTTTTGTTTTGGTTTGGTTTTAATCCCTACTCACTTGGTTTCTTAATTTGACTTTCCTTTAACAGGAGCTGTTTAATTAGCATTACAGTTTCTATATAAATAAGTCTGAAAAATGTGGTGTTTTGGCTTCTGTTCCCATTTCATTGATTTTCTTCTGGTTTTCAGATCCTCTCTTTTAGATAGCTAGTGCACCCTAAAGCAGGTGTCTGTTTCAGGCCCAAATTTGAAGGATAAACACTTACCTATGAAGTGTAAAATAGTATGTGTGATTTTTCAAAAAACAAAATTAATGCTCGAGAGAGAGCACATTTTTATGAAGTGGTGTTTTTGCATCTAGCCATATTTCTGTAGTCTTTTTAAGTTGTGCTTTAATAGTGGCAGTGATGAAAGCTGTTGGCTGTCTGTCCATACAGCATCTGACTGCAGCAGCTGTCCCGAAGGTGTTCTGAACGGGGTCTTTTCTGGGGGTGCCTCCGCAGTTTGATGTTCCCTCTAGCGTTTGAAGACTGGAAATGCTGAGTCTAGGCTCCAGATTGCTGCAAAAAGACCAAATATGCTTGGTGGCAACAGCTTGAAAGCCAAGGACGGGGTTTTCTGTCGGGAAAGTCAAGGGGAGGGAATGTGGGGGCTTGGTTTTAGTTTCAGTGGATGTAATTGCTGCATTATCAGCTGACTTTGTCCATGTGCTCTGCTCTGAATGACCTTTGGAGTGTAGGACCTGAGTCTGAATGGCTTCTGTGCCATCACATCACATTTCTACTTGCCTCCCTCTGTTCCCATTTCATTGATTTTCTTCTGGTTTTCAGATCCTCTCTTTTAGATAGCTAGTGCACCCTAAAGCAGGTGTCTGTTTCAGGCCCAAATTTGAAGGATAAACACTTACCTATGAAGTGTAAAATAGTATGTGTGATTTTTCAAAAAACAAAATTAATGCTCGAGAGAGAGCACATTTTTATGAAGTGGTGTTTTTGCATCTAGCCATATTTCTGTAGTCTTTTTAAGTTGTGCTTTAATAGTGGCAGTGATGAAAGCTGTTGGCTGTCTGTCCATACAGCATCTGACTGCAGCAGCTGTCCCGAAGGTGTTCTGAACGGGGTCTTTTCTGGGGGTGCCTCCGCAGTTTGATGTTCCCTCTAGCGTTTGAAGACTGGAAATGCTGAGTCTAGGCTCCAGATTGCTGCAAAAAGACCAAATATGCTTGGTGGCAACAGCTTGAAAGCCAAGGACGGGGTTTTCTGTCGGGAAAGTCAAGGGGAGGGAATGTGGGGGCTTGGTTTTAGTTTCAGTGGATGTAATTGCTGCATTATCAGCTGACTTTGTCCATGTGCTCTGCTCTGAATGACCTTTGGAGTGTAGGACCTGAGTCTGAATGGCTTCTGTGCCATCACATCACATTTCTACTTGCCTCCCTGGGCAGACCAAATCTGGAGCCTGTCTAAGCAAAATTTGATTGCTTAGATGACTATCTCCCAAGTTATTTATTGGTTTCATCAACACAGTAAATTGTCTAAAGTCTCCTAAAGAAGTACTTACAGAGTTTTCTATGGCTGATTAATTGCCACAGTTTGCTAGATACGAATAAAGACAAATGATTATTTAAACCTGCTTATGTGCCATGACTCTTTCTTCCTTGATTGTGGTAGAGTGCCAGCTGATGAAGACAGAACGACCTAAACCAAACACATTTATCATTAGATGCCTCCAGTGGACCACAGTAATTGAAAGAACATTTCATGTGGAGACTCCAGAGGAGCGGTATGTTTCATTCATATTTAATACATAAACTATTTGCAAAAGCAGATGCAAGTGTTCAGCATTAATAGCAAATCCTTTGCTGAAGCTCTTATTTATCAGATGATGTACATCTAGACTGAAAAGTGACAATTTTTGAGAGCCTCAGTTCTAGTGCATGTTCCAGGATAAAAAGTCCCTTAAAGAGTGTTTCAGAGAGTGAGTTTTAAGTAGTATTTGTAAATTAAATATTGCTAAGTTGGGTATCCCAAGTGGACAGGAGTGGGTGTGTACCAGCACACACAGGTAATTATTTCTGGAAATTCAGGGTTCATTTCTCACTGGGAGTGTTGTGGCATGTGAAATGAAGGATTTCTGAGCTGGGAGTTTCTGGAAGGATGAGCACAAGGGAACAGAGATTCAGACAAAGCTGAGTTGTATCAAAATACTGACCTCTTGAAGTCGTTTTAGAGATCCTTGTTTTTCAAGGGAAAAAATTAGTTGTATCATTGCTGATTGCTAATGTTTTATGCAAATTGGATAATAAAGGTGATAGTTATCTGCTGCAGGTGCAGATTTCTGTTTGAGCTTTTAGGAGACAAAGCTAAGAGCATGCTTTCTGTGCTCTCATCATTGAAGAATTGATCTCTTGCCTCCTGAGAGAACAGCTTTTCTAGCACAGCTATTCTACAACTACAGAGTATTTAAATATTTACTTGCTCTTCAGGAACTGAATTTAAATTATTCCATTTCAGTACCATTGCCCTAGGGGAGAGGGTATTTTAAAAACCTTGTCCTCCCTATATATGATGCTGGCACATCTTTCTTTTGAAGATCAGCAAATTCTACCTAATATTCTTTGTTTTTTTCTTTTGTAGCCTTTGAATGCACTGATTTAAACAAGGTTCCTGTTTATTGCTTTTAATTTTATAACAGTGGTCAGAAGAAGGTGAAATCAAGTTAAAAGCAAGGAAAAATAAACTGCTCCTTATTTCTTTTAGTAGCTTTGTGGTCAGTGACCCTAAAGTGAGTGAATAACAATTTCCACTTGGGGGAAGATGGTGTTTCAGTCTTGTTTTGTTCCCTCCTAGCCAATTAAGTCAGCTTTGTGACACTTCAGGGCTTGGGATGTTAGTCACCTCTGTTGTGTACGCTTGAGACATAACAGCTGAGGGTGAAATTCTGGTCTCCCAGAAGTCAAAGATACTAACTTCAGGAGGGCTGAGATCTCAACCAAGTCTGTAATGAATCTCAAAAGAGATGTGGAGATTTTTTAGTATTTTAGCTTTCCCTGTGGCTTTAAAAGCAATGTTTGTTTTCTGAAAGAGATGGAGAGAAAAATACAGAAGAAAAAGTTATTTTTGTAATAGCTCTGACTATGAAAAATGACTAGTAAATAAATGTGTTTGGGATGGTGGCTCTTCTGTGATTGCAGGGAGAATGTTCAGAATGGTTAGCATTACCATACTGCCCCAGACAGGGCTGCTGTGTATATTGAGACAAAACCCATAATAAAAAATGCCCAAGGTTGTAAAGAACTTATGTGTAGTTGATGCAATTTTTATTAGTCTTGTGTTAGGTACTTTTTCCATTGATCTCAATGCCTCTGTGGAATAATTTCTCTCTTCCACCCATCACAAAGTGAAATTCACATGTTCAGACATAATTATTTTTTTTTAAAACCTGGTGTTTGACTACATAATTTCACAGAACCAGTGAAAAATTCGATGAGGATGTCACAGCTTCATTGCAGATTGTGCATGGAATTGTTCAATGTTTCTGCTCTAGTAGCAAAGTATTTTACCTGAGGTGCCCTTGTGAGAAGAGTTTAGCCAATGCCCCAAAAATATCAACTAAACCACTAAGTTCCATTCCCTACAGATAAAAAAGAGAGGGAACAGTGGTAAATTCACATAGTGCACTGAACATTTTTTCAGACCCTGTATGCCTTAAAGCCCATCCTAAAACCCTGTAAACCCATAAGAGTTGTATGCTTTGTGTTCAATACATTTGCAGTGAAATGAAGTGAAGGCCAAGAGCTTTCACTTCAGTAGTTTCCAAAGGTGTGAAATTGCCCAAAGGACAGTGGAGTGGAAGTGGTCTCCATAGGAATCAAAGGGGTCAATATTAGAGCACCCACTGCTGAAACAGCTGTGGAGACTTTATCATAACCAAGACCTGTGCCTAAGATAAAATGTCACTGCTTTTGCCAACATGCTGCTAAGTTTACACAGGAATTGCTGTAGTTCTGTCATTATCTTTTTAACAGAGGAATAACCTAAGTATCATGGGCTTTAATGCTTACTCCTAGAACATTCCCTTGCCATTAAAATTTGGGATATATGTGGGAAGAGGTGACATAGTGCCCCCAGTAGTTGGATATATGTGTTTCAGTACACCATAGGAACAGGGTAACTGTTTAATTGCTTTGTACTGCATGGGAGCTTTTTGCTTTTGGGTTTGGGCAAGTCTGTTTTTGTTATGTAAATCTCTGTTCCACCAGGTCATATCTTGAGCTACTGACTGAATGCCTATTAGAAATTCTGTTGTCTGAAAAGCCAGACATATATTGTATTCAGACTGAGAGGACTTCAGTTTCTGTTGTTTCTAGTATGATTAATAAAGATGTATGTTAAAAGCACATTTTTACAGTGCTTGAGATTGCACATAATTCATCTGTATGTTGCATTGATTCATTGGAGAGCATTAAGTGTTCTGTATTGCTTGGTGACCCTTGTCATGGTAGACAGTCATCTGAAGTCACAAGTAACAAATTTTTGCTTAAATTTTGCCAGGGAAGAATGGACAAAAGCCATCCAAACAGTAGCAGACAGCCTCAAGAAACAAGAGGAAGAGATGATGGATTTTAGATCTGGCTCTCCTAGTGATAATTCAGGTGCTGAAGAAATGGAAGTTTCTATGACAAAGCCAAAACACAAAGTGGTAAGTGAGCATAGCAGGAATAACAGTATTTTTTTTAGGTCTACAAGAAATAGACATCAAAGATGCTCCTGACAAGAAATAGACATCAAGACACGTTTCCATAACAATTATATGGTTGGTTTTAAATGCAGCTTCTAGAGGAAATGAGTGAGCTGACCAGGTACCAGGCAAAGCCTGACTGTATCCACTGGAGTTCTGAGTAGCTTTGAAGGCCAGCTCAGGTCTGGAGCTGGTTTGCTTATTTTCTTGTGGGTACAGAGCCTGAAATCATAACTCCTACCAGACTGTGTGACTCTTTGCAGGCCAGTCCAAAGATATTCCAGTGAACCTGCGAGATCTAGGGTGGGTTTAGGTTAATTGCTAAGGGTTTGGGCTAACTCCCAAATAGCTGCTGCAGTATCTGTCCCTAGTGTTCCTGGAGGTTGAGTTTTTGCATCAGGCACAGTATTGTCTGAATGCACAGGGCCAGCTAAGAAGAGGTCTTCCATGAAAGGAGTGTGTGCCAGAGGAGATACATGGCCTGTGAAGTCATTTTAGGTATCTGTCTTCAGCCTCCTTTCACTTATTTCTGCCCTGTCATGGTCTCCTGTTTGGCTTTCAGTTTTCCGCAGCGTTCCCATCTGCTCTTGTAGGATGTAAATTGATAGAACCTTTTCCCATGCAAATGATACAGTTGTGGATTGTACCAAGACACTTCTTTGTGTCCTTATCTCACCATTGTCATCCCCTCATTAATTTGTAAGTTTGTTTCCATTCTGGGAAAACAGGTGAAGTTTTGAAGAGAAAGGATAGAAAAGATCCATTAGCATCATCACTGAGTGTGAGTGCCAGCCCTGTGTCCAGTGGTTTTAGATTTACCTGAATGACTATTTAGATGTCACTCTGAATTGTAGCAGCTTTTAGGCTTCTGTGTCCTTGACTGAACAGATACTCCTTGCCAAGTGATTTGTTACAGAAATGCAAGAACCACCTTGCTGGTCAAATATACACATTCTTCTGAGACAGTGACTGACTCTCTCTGAGCATGCTAGTCAGGAGAGTCAAAATTATTATCGGGGCCCTGGCATCAACTGTATTGAGCCATTAGCAGAAGGTCTCCTCAGCCAGCTCTAGAAAATAATATGGAAGCTACTGGGAACATCTTAAAATTTTGCCCCAGCCAAGGCTGCCCAAGCCTTACTATTGCCATGTTGGTAATGGTCATTGACATGACAGCATAGAGAATATCCTCAGCCTGCAACAGGGTCTGACTTTCCCCAGCATTTTTCCTAATGGTGAAAAAAATAAGAGCAAGTTGCTCATCTGTGAGGCAGTGGGTTTTAGTGCTGTTCAATAAAGCACAAGAAAGCTGGTCCTCTAGAGAGGTGAAGAACATAAAAATTAAGGTATGGGTTTAATTCCTGGAATCAGAGCAACATGTGTGTTTTAGTGAATGTCTGCACTGACAAAGTTGAAATGTCTGTGTATTAATAATAGTTTGTTGAATGGTATTTGCACAGTTGAGCATTGAGTCATGTGAAAGAGTGTTCTGTTAATGGAAAGCTTATGGTTTTTCCCTGAATAGTTTGATTGATTATCTTTGGGAGTGCACTGGTGTTAATTTTTACAGAAGAACAATTTTCGCTCCTGAATTCTACTAAGCAAAAGGATTAAAAACACCCCACACATGCAATATATGTAATGTATTCTCATGTGAATGAGAGGTTCTGATCTGAGAGTAATATACTTGTTGTTAGTTCATGTAATTCAGTTCTTGTTTTTCTGTATCTGTAACAGACCATGAATGAGTTTGAATACCTTAAACTACTGGGAAAAGGCACTTTTGGAAAAGTCATTTTAGTTAAAGAAAAAGCAACCGGACGGTATTATGCTATGAAAATTCTGAAGAAGGAAGTTATTGTAGCCAAGGTGAGTCAATGGGAAACTTGGCAATGTGCTTCACCCTTGCTCCAGCCTTTGGGAAAGTTGTACCAAGGTTTCTCTTGAGTACTTGTGAATAATTGCTCCTTTAGTGTTTGAAATAGACCCCTGATCTGGAGGATCACTGTACTGATTTCCTCTTCCTTGTTTCAGGATGAAGTAGCACACACACTGACAGAAAACCGTGTTTTACAGAACTCAAGGCATCCATTCTTAACAGTAAGCATTTCTCCCTCTGCTGAGGGTAACTTGACATCATGACAACCAAGACTTTCCTTATTTTTTAGTTGTTTCTTTTTTATATATATATATTTATATATGTTTTTATATATATTATATATATATTTACCCCTTATATATTTATATATATATTTATTTATTTATATATATATAAAACATCTCAAATCTGTGTTTTCAGAGCAGCTGTGTATTTTTTTACTGTTCCACTTTTGGGAAGCACAAATTAAAATGCTTTTTCGAGGCTTCTGATTGTTGCAGAGCAGGTCCTCGGTACCTCTTGAAGACAGTTCTTCAGGGTGTGGTTTGACTTTATGGCTCACCCATTTAATGGCTTACTATCTCTGAGAGAAGTATCTGCTTTCCTTGTCCTCTAAAAGCTTTGTTTCCTCTTTGTAGCAGAGATCAGGGTGACCCTGATCTTGTGACAAACAAGTTCAGGAAGATACAGTGGTGGGAAAACCCTTTAATTTTGCCTTCATTTTTTTTTAAGCTCCCAGAAGGGATCAGAGCACTGGTAATGCCAGCCAAAGGATAGTCGAGGGAGAATAGGGAATCCCAGGACTGTGTGTTAGCTGCAGCTTTCCTTTTGGATTGGCTTAGCTGTAAAATCAAACCATACCCTGAATTTAGACCTCCCCCAACAGCAGTCTCTCTGGGTTGAGTTCCACCTCAAGACTTTCTTTCCAGTATTTATTACAGGTTGTCTCTGAATTGTTTCCAACCGCTTAAGCCCTCTAGGAGACTCATGTAGGATCCTGGTTGTTTCCTTTGTCCAGGTACACAAGGGCTTAACTGGAATTCAGACTTTTAAGTGTGGCCTCTGGAAGTGAATATTGGCTGTAATGGGTATAATCAGTAAATGTTTATTGATGTGTCTCAAACCCGATCCTTCCTCTCTCTGCAAAAATATGACTGGTTTAAAAATGCCACGCCTAGTAACTAAGAGGATGATATAATATGCAGAATTTTCTTTTTAATGCTTTCATAAACCCAAATATCTAAATATCTAAAACAAGGGCGGTCTTTGAGAAGTCAGCTGCAAGACTGGGTTACGAGCAAGAAACTCAAGACTGTGGCAAACAAGTTGATGTTACTTTGCCACAGGAATACACGTGACAGGACTGTACAAAGGCACCTTGTGATGCTCCATCACACCCTCTGTCCAGTCTTTTTTTGTGAATTGCTCACAGATTGATACTGACAGCATTGCTCAGTCCTCTGGCAGGCTGTCAATGGTGAGCCGTTGTAGGCAGTAGAGCAGAGACCAAGGGGCTGGTGTGTGGAAATATCTTTGTGTTTCATATAAAAGGGCTTGTAGCCAGTGCAGTAAAACCTTGTGCTCTGAGGCTTGATTGTGGCCTCTTTCATTCTGAGATGAAACTGTGGGAGCTTGTGGCCTGGGAAGGAAACTTCAGAGCCACGTTCAGTGCTTTTTGTGTCAGGTCACAGAGTCAGGGCTGTTTCACAGCATTATAGGTGCTGCTGATAGCTTCTGTGAGGGACAGTTTGAATGTTTAATTAAATTGATTTAATAAAATAAGTTGGCAGTGGATCAGTCTCCAGCCACAACAGGAAAGTGTAAGTATTATAGAAGATCCAGGGACAAAATGTTCACTAGAATAGAAAATGTCATGTCTGTCTATGTGTCTGAAAATCTATTAAAACTACTTTTATAACTGTCAGTGTGATCTGTCGTCTAAGTTTTGGGTTCAATCTCTTTCAGGCTTTAAAGTATTCCTTTCAGACACATGATCGCTTGTGTTTTGTGATGGAGTATGCTAATGGAGGGGAGGTAAGGGAAATGTTATAATGTTCAATAGGATTTTCCTTTGCTGCTACTAATTCTGCTTGACATTATTTAGCTAACGTCCATGTCTGCAATTCTAATTAATGCAAATTGTCCCAGTTAAATAGAGCTGTTTGCAGGTTTAACTAATTTTAAGAATTACGATTTAATTTTCTTAACTCCATTTATAGATAACAGAGGGTGTGGGTGTAGGTTCATATTTTACATGACATGAACATATTGTAATCTGACATTTACTAATTCAAGAAGGCAAGGTTGCTTGCTAGTTGCTCTTTTAACACTTTTCAATTAATATTGTGAGCACACATTACTTTGGAAGGAGAACTAGAGACAGCAAACTACTTTTAGTGAAGAAGGAAAAATTGGAATATTGACATTTCTCTAAATCATGCATTAATCTAGTTTTAATATGTAATTGCAGCTCAATCAAAATGGGTTTTTATCATTTTCTATATGTACAAGAATGTGCAGCACACATACTGGTTATCAGTGTGCATCAGTCTTGCTGTTTCATTTATCATGCATATTAACACATTTGGAAATGTAAGGGGGCTGAGGATGGGAATGGGTTTTCTCTTTGATAATGCTGCATTCCAAGCAGGATGGCCTGTGAAGTGTGAGACATTAACTCAGAAACACGTGCAATCTAAAGGTAACAAATTACTGTTCCTTGTAGTTGTTTTTCCATCTGTCAAGAGAGCGTGTCTTTTCTGAAGACCGGGCTCGGTTTTATGGAGCTGAGATTGTTTCAGCACTGGATTATCTGCATTCAGAGAAGAATGTGGTTTATAGAGATTTAAAGGTATGTAAAAAAATAATTTCATAGGCTTTTTGGTTTTGGGGCTTTTTGTTCGTTAGTCACAAAAGCAGATGAGCCTTAACTATAAGAAAGCCTTTCCTGACTGAACTTTTAACAGTTATTGCAGCTGTTGGACCTGACTTTACAGGATGCCTAAACACTTTTATAGTCTAAGAGCTTGTGTAACACATTTATCAGGACCCTGGTAGCATTTCAGAGAATATGAAGGAGTACTGAGGTACTTGGGTTGCATTTTCACCTGCCTGCTTATGATCTAAAACAAACCTTGCTGGCTTTTTCACATGGTGGAAGATAATCCTGGGCTCTTAATCCCAGTTTTTATCAGACAGATGCAAATTCATACTGTGCGGACGTTGTGCCTCCTTGCAATGTGCCGTGCAGCACTGTCTTCATAGTACCTGCTTGCAGTTAGGAAATTTGATAAGGTTCAAGTTCCTAATTTGTTTGGTGAGCAGAGAAGGGGGGGGGAAAAAAACCCAACCAAGTAAGAAGTCTCCAGTTCAGACAAACTTGGGAAATCCTTGAGGAAAATGCAACAATAGCATTTTTTTTTTCCTGAGAAGTGTTTTCAGCAGAGGGTGAGGGCATTCTGGTAGTAGATTTAGGAGTAATCTAAAATGAAGCATGCTATATAATGTTTTCAGGCTATTTTGGGATTCTTGCTGGGATTTTGTCTCCCATATCGCTGTGATTCCTTTGAAAGTGCACTTTATTTCATACATAGTGGAAACACTGTCCTGAAGGCTGGATATCTTTCTCAAAAATGAGTGGGGCAGGCTAGGATGATTACAACATGCTGTATAAATGTATCAAGTGATTCTCATGTCAAGGGTCTCTTTGGAAAGGGTTCCTTAGCCTTGTATTTGGTTTTTTTTTTTTCCATTTGTTATCCTGTACTGATATAGCACATTTCATAAAATCACTTGAGGGTGAAAGCAGGGATGAAGTTGTGTGAGTGGGAATACTTAATAAATATGTACCAGAACTGTTGTGCTGTTGGTGATAATACTGTAGAAGCATAAATGCAGTGTCTACATTCTGCTTCCCTTCTGTATATATCATCAGTTACCCAGAGGCTATAAATCAGTTACCTTACGTTCCCTGAAGAGCTAAGGGAAGTTATCTAAAGGTATATGTACATCACGTGCTTTGGCAGCTACTGTGTTTCTGATTCCACTGAGAATGGAGTTGAAAACTGGTCTGCAGAAATTAATGTGTTTCATTGATGTGTGTTGTATGTAAGAATGTCTTTCATTTGGATTTTCTTCTCAGTTGGAAAATCTTATGCTGGATAAAGATGGACACATAAAAATAACAGACTTTGGGCTGTGTAAAGAAGGCATCAAGGATGGAGCAACAATGAAGACTTTCTGTGGCACTCCGGAGTATCTTGCACCAGAGGTATGTTTATGTTGGCTGTTGTACTAAATTTCATTCCTAAATGCCATCCGTGATAGCAGCAGTGATGCAGAATAACTCCTGTGCCTTAATGTGTTCGTACAGTAACTACTGTTACATAACAACACATACTGAGGATCTTTTATTCATCATGTTCTGGGATGTGTCTTTAGCATAATGATGTGTGATTATTTTCGGGCAGGGTAACATCTTTCTTCCACTTCAGGGAATATTTACATTTTACTGGAACAGTGCTTTCTTCTTATGTCAGATATCTAATGTAAAAAAATCTTTTAAATCACTCATAATGCTGCTTGATAGATTGGAGACTGTTGTAATGTGTTTGCTGTGTGTTGGCTTACCTGGAAGCTCAGAATAGGACTCTGGTTAAGAAGTAAAAGCACTGTCCAATTATTTTACTCTTTGAAGACAGTGTAAGGCTGCATGTTTTCAGAAACAGGACAGACCAAGCTTGTTCTGCAGTATTTAGCATGGTATTCATTAAAAGTGCTGCCTGTTTTGTGACTGTAAGAGCATGAGATGTTAGTCAATGTTAATGTGAACTTTTCAGTTTCAGAGGAAATAAATCCAAGCAGCAGTTGCATAAAATGCAAATGTGTGCCTGCAACTTACAGCCCAAAAATACTCCTTCTGAGAGTTGTACAACACAGGTGGTGTTATATCTGTGAGTTAGTTACGGGCAGATCAAAAGTGAAATTGTGTGATAGAGGATATATGTATACATGGTGTTTTGCAGGCAGACACTAGTTCTCTCTGCCCACGCTCTGAGCTGTCTGGAAGCAGACTTGCTGTATTAGTAGGGCACCAAGCCTGGGCTGACGTGGTGTGCTTCACAGAAGGGCTCGTTGCCTTACAGTGAGTGCTTTCCTACCCTGCCTCTGAGGCTTCTATCCAGCTTGGAGCACAGGCAGAAGCAAGTCTTGGGCTGCCGGCAGATTATATATTCTTGGCACAGCCAGGATGTAGACTTTCTCCAAGGTCAGAGACTTGGGCATTGCAAAATTTTCTTGAGGTGAAGTATGCAGAAGTACCAAGTATGGAAAACCAAAGTGGAGGAGGAATATATCTGCTGAGAGCTGATGTCTTTTCTGATCAGTGCTTTTGCACTCTCAGCACGCATAGCCGTGGCAATGTGCTCTTGGGTTTTTTTGGTTTTGGGTTTGGTTTTTTTTTAACTCCCAGCTGCTTTCAAGGGCCTCCAGTCTCTTTGTAATAATGAGGAACGTGGGCACCTGTCGAAGTAGCTTGCAGCAAGGAGGTGGAGCCAGTCTCATGAGAGCTGCCAGCTCTACATGGATCACCAGAAGTCTGCAGTCCATCTAAATTGAGGTCCATGCACCACAATTTGAGATTTACTGATGCAGGGAGTAATTGACAGCATGACAGAGGGTTTTTTTGATTAATAAATATGGCTTTTATTTTAGCTTTCCTCTGAAAATCAATTGCTGAACTTCAGTTTCTCATCAAGGATTTTATGAAGAGTCTCAAAATATTTATTGTTTTGTTTTGTTTTCTCCTAAGTTGGAATGTGGGGATTCCCCTTGCAGGTGTTATGTTGCTCTTTCTCTTACATTATTTGCTGTTATTTTTCTTTTTAATATTTATGATGAGTTGGCTCATCCAAAACCCTGAAGGACAAATCCTTTTGATTAGCCCAGCTCTCTCCCTTACTTGCAAATCCCATCTGTCAGTTGTAGTGTTAAGTTCTGGAGGCTTTTGTCATCTGGTCGATAGCACGCAAAAAATCTGGAACTTGTATGCGTGCGATATTCCGTGCGTTTGAGATCATACATCCTTCAGAGCAGGGGTCTCAAGCTTCTTGTCTGCATTTTTAACTTGAATCTGACCAAGAGGTGTGTTTGTACAGTTGTTGCACCGTTGGTTTTAAGTTCATACTGGAATCTCGTGCATGGATGACAGTGACTGAACCACGTCAACTTCAATGTGTCAGATGCATCGGGGGCTGTGATGTTTACAGCTGTTGCGCCTTCCCTTCCAAATTCCATTTCACAGCAGTCTTGAGCTGCTCATTAGGAAATGATCATCCTTTAAGTGAAGTGACCTTTTTATTTTACTGCTCCCCAGCTATCCTGGGTGTTGCAGTAAATCATGGATGTGTGCAATACCTTTTTAGTTAGTGTATTTTTTATGCTAATAGCATTGCTCTGCTTTGTGCAGTTGGTGAAAGAAAGGTGTAGCTAATAATTTAGATTATAATACAGAGTATTAATGTGCTTACTTACGTAATATTGGAAGTATTTGCTGCATTTCAGAAGTATCTGTAGCATTTGTTGCATGCACAAAGATGTGCCTGTGGTTTTGTTTTCCTTTGTCCTGTCCCGTCGCATCTCTCGCAGCAGTTTAAAAAATAAAATCTGAGGCCCTCTGACTGTTTTATTTGAAGTAACCCAAGTGTAGGGGAGTGTGAACAGGAAGCTTGTACTGAAGGGGGTGACTCAGAGAGCAGTAACTGCATTGTCACACAATATCTCCTGTGAGCTGAAGGGAAGGACGGGCTGGCTCCTGGAATCCTGTCCGGCCAGCAGCTGTGTCGGCCCTATCCATGTAGGGGGCAGCTGCAGACCCAGCTGTCGTCCTGTGAATCATGCGGCAGGGGATGCTGTAAATAGACCGACATGGGGTAACCTAATACCTGGCAGCCTTTGGATTTTTACTGCAGGCCCTTTCCCCCATTCAGATAATTAAGGGAAATAATGAGTGAATAAAGAGAGGCAGAGTGCAAACAGTTGTTACGTGGAGTGTCGATGCTTCTTTTTAGTGTGCAAAACCTTAATTAAGGTTTGTAAGAGGTTCAGATGTTGGCTTTGTTGAACTTGTGTCGGCTTCATTCGGCTCTTTCAGCCTTTTAATTTTCAGTGTTAAGTGTTCTGAATTGTAGCAATGTAAGGCTCACACAGACACCATGCAACAAGAAAACACGATGGTGGTATGGTTGTGGTTTGTGCCCTTAGCCAGAGTAAGCAGTTCAGTGCAGACCTGTGAAAAGAGTAAAGATTACAACTAAAATCTGAGGACAGGGTCTGGAACCTGAGACTGTTGGTGTCAGCTACAGACAACTGTGTTGGAGACACAGAGTCTAGAGAAGTCCGTGTAACATCCACTCCACAAGCCACAAAGTAACTCCTCATTCCCTTCAGAAACCCTCAGTGCAGATCAGAAATGCACTGTGACAGGGCTTCTCTGGAGCAAGCATGAGGGATGGAGGGCACTGCTGGGGTCCTGAGTCCTTGCAGTAGTCAGGGCTTTGTTAGGTAGAAGTGCCCAGGGATAGGGAAAAATTAACTTTGTTGGACTTTTTCCACTGTGAGACCTGGCAGAAGTCCATCCCACTGACAGTTCCTGGGTTTGCAGGCTTCTTAAGCAGAGACAGGAGTGTTAGAGCTAGTGAGCAAGTGCCTTTGGGGGATGGGGGCAGAGGAGAGGAAGGGAAACATTTCCAGACAATTTGGCTGCCGTTTTATGGCGTTACAGCTGGTCAAATGTAAGGAGTGGTGTTCTTGCTCTTAGTGTTGAATGTAGGCTAGTCATTAAGTATTTGTGGGTGGTCTTTCAGGATGTGCAGAGCCACCCTCTGGAGGGTGCAGGTTGGTAAGAAGATGATGGGGATGTTTGGCTTGTCACTTGTAGAGGAACATGTTGATGGTATTCTCTCTTCTTCCCATACTGGCTCCTTGGTGGTTTGGGGTTTCTCTAAAAAACTGGATCCCATCTGGAACGGTTAGTGATGAATAAGTGAGAATTTAACAGCTGGCTTTGTAATGTGAGAACAGTTCTCAGCCTCAGGCTTTCGAAGGTTGTTCTTATCATGACCATAATGTGAGGGAGGGTGAGAGGAAGAGGAGAAGGAAGCTGCCATAATGTACCCGCTGCCTCCTTTTCCACCTCCTGCTCACCTAGAACAGTGAATGTGGATGCCAGTTCTTTTTCAAATGGATCTTCTGCAGATACTCTGCTGGTAGATTTGGCTGTGACATGTGAAAAGATGACCTTGCTGGGGCTAGAATTTTGCCTTGAGGTCTGTGCTGTTGCCTGGGTTTGGGAATGTCTTCTAAAGCCTTTTCCTTACATTTCTGCAGGTGCTGGAAGATAACGACTATGGTCGTGCAGTGGACTGGTGGGGTTTAGGAGTTGTGATGTATGAAATGATGTGTGGCCGGCTCCCTTTCTACAATCAGGACCACGAAAAGCTCTTTGAACTCATCCTCATGGAGGAGATTAGATTTCCACGCACTTTGTCACCTGAAGCAAAATCTCTCTTGTCAGGTTTGCTGAAGAAAGATCCTAAGCAAAGGTAAGACTCTTGCTGAGTAGTTGTATTTTTAAGTGATCATGCTCTCAGAAATGCTAAAATAAAAACAAATCAAGAAAAAGTACTTTGCTAAAGCCTTTGCAAAGGTGTTAATAGTTGTGCTGTGCAGAAGTGTGTCTATGAAAGGGAAGTATCTTAATAGTGACTTAAAAGTGACTCTTTCTGTGTTTCCGTGGAAATGGTGCTGCAGAAAGGGCTACTGAATGCACACATGCCAATCTTCTTTTAATTTAAAGTTGAGGAAAGTGTTTCAGACAAAATGTAGTTTTGTTCCTAATCCATTCAAAGTGATCATCCATCAAGATGCACCAAGTGGACCTGCTCTTTTTTGTTTTATGAGCTTACACTGCAAATGAGGCAGCTTTGGCCATCAGAAGGCTGAACTTCAGAATAGTGTGGCTGCCATGAACACAAAGCTGTAGCCTGGGACAAAGCAAGTTAACCCTGTATTTGGTCATAAGAAATCCAATGGCTGCTATGGATTCCAAGCTGTTCTGCATGGAATGCTTTCACTTTCTGTCCCAGTTCAGGTAGCTGGCTACTTTCTGAATTTGCAGTTAAATCTGTACCAGTGGTTTAGCATCCTGCTTTGGACAGTAGGTGGTGGTGTTTGTACCATGTTTTTGGTGGAGTTTATGCCATGCTTAATTTACTTTTTCTATTTCCTCCTCTTGTTTTTTTTTTTTTTGTATTTGTTTCTTTTTTTGCTATGCTGTATTATTTAAAAAGTAACCCTTGATTTAAAAACAGAAAAAACAAAACACCAAGCCCTTAATGGATAACAAACAGAAAATAGGAAGAGATCCAAAAAGGATGTTGACCTTCACACAGAGATAAACATCAGTTAAAAAACCTGCCATCTTGTCAACCCAGACATTTTAAAAACAAATAATATTGTTACTCTGCTTCTGATCTCCTGTCGTGAACCTTCCACAGTACATGGGCCCCAAATAGGAAGCCTTTAATGTGAGGTACAAGCAGAGCATTTTGGTTTGCTCCCTGATGTTTGTTTAGTCTGTGTGGTCTCTGTGCACACAGTAGGAAAATGGGTTTTGCCAGTACATGGGTCCTTGTAGCAAGGATTTTTGTCATCACTGTAGTCTATTTCTATCGCTGTTTTTGATGGAAAATCCTGTTGAGAGGTCTTGTAATGCAAATCCAGTTTGTACTACCAGAGGATTCAGCTCAGTGGTGCCACAGGGTACTGGGAATGGTTGCAGTCCGGAACATCACCAGCCTTGTACTAGGTGACAACAGCTGCACACCCCTCCCAGACCCAGCACCATCAAGGGAACCTCCAGGAGAAGGTTGTGTAATTGATGACACCCCCAGGCATTGTGCTCTTTGAGAGCATTTGGTTGCAGCCCCTGCCAACAGGATTCCTGTCCAGGAAAACGCTGGGTTAAATACAGTTGTGACCCTTCTGTAGCTTATTCAGGTGGGGCCTTTCAATCACTGGAAACACAATCAGCATCTGCTGTAATTTGTTCTTAAAGAAGCATCCCTGATGATCCAAAATGCAATTTGTTTACAAACAAAGAACGCCCACTTGTTTCTAATTACAAGGTTTTCCCAATGCCAATAATTACTCCACAATGTGCTCATTTTATACAAATAGCCACTTCTTCACATGTATCTTCTGCAGGCTTGGAACCAACAATGCTTTGATCTGTTGGACAGATGATTTTCATGCTGCTGATAGAAATAACTATGGACTAGACAAGTCTGCACACATGCCCACAGCTTACTAATTACACTGGTGTTTCTCAGGGTTTTTGGATCATGGACCATTCTTAAATACTGGTTTCTCACCAATCACTGTTCACCCAGCTTCTAAACTAAAGTTGTGATTCTGGAAATCCCCTGCACTTCATGGCATTTCAGGCAGCACAGAAAACTGAGCTGGAAGCACAGGGGTGGATGTCCTCAATCCTGGCCTTATAGTTTTATTTTATTTTAACTGCGTGATCTGTGTGCTGGGGTGGGCACCTGGGATACTTGGTAGTTGACTCATAGTGAGTTCATGATACCATATTGAAAAAAACAGGCAGATAGCTACAAAAATAAATTCAGTGAAAAGTTAGATAATGTGCAGTAGTCTGGTTGACATTAGCCTGTTGATGATGCATTGGGGAACCACTGTGTGGTTCAACAGAAATCCCCTCTTCCACAAAGTCCAATGGTGGACAGATATTGGTGTCATTGTAGTGATGTTTGGGGCAGAAAACATTGGAATTGGCAGCATTTAGTAACTGCTGGTGAACTCCAGAATGGGATGGAGGAGACATGAGAAAACCATCAGAAAAATGAAACTGGGAGATGTTGACCCTTCTTGTAAAATCCTCAGGAAAACCCAGCAACAATAAAGGCTGATAAAATTAAGCTTGGTGATGAGGATATTTTACGATAAATATCAAGGATCTATGGAATTCTGACTCATGTCAGTGATTTAAATCTTAAAAATTGGCTGAAGTGCTTAGCTGGGTATATAGAAGCAGCAGTCTGAGCACTCTGCATTCAGGACTGCCAGTTTGGTCTCAAACTCATAGGCATGTGGAGAAAAATCAGTAAATTACATTCTGCTTTTAATAATGGCTGTTTTCTAAATTTGGTCATATAAAATCCATTTTGTCAGAGAAAAGGAATTTTTAAGTTTCTTTTGGGATTGATATAAGTTTATTAATCTTGTAATGTGAGCTCTAATTTTCCTAAGAAGGAAAAAATCTATTCTGTAAATAGTTCCTTTTATTGTGATGTGAAGTCCTCCTTTGCAGCTTTGTGACACATATCAAATGGAAGGAGGTAATCAGAGGATTTTTTTCACACATAAAATGGCAAAAATTTTAACTTCCATTATTCCTTTTCTGGCTGTAGAGATTTCAACTCAATGAAGTGGGCGTGGATCAGAGTGCACCATGTAAACAGACTGAGTTTAGATGGGTGGGGTGGGTTTGTAATCAGCAGTATCTCACAAGCTCCGAGTTGTGGCAGATTTTAAACTTCAGAGAACTTCAGGATGGTTTCATCTGACTTTGGGTCATGTCTTTTCACTATATACCGTAGTGCTTCCTGTCATATAGGTCAGGTTTGTTCAACCTATTTCAGATGGGCATTGTCACAAGCTGCTTTATCTACCTCTGTCTTCTGTGGTGCTGCTGGACCTTGCCATTCAGAATGAGAAGAAGAATTTGCAGCATTTCACAAATGCCTGGTAAAAGATTTAATTACTTGACAGAGTGGTAGTTGTGGCTTTGGAGTGCTGAAGCTTGTTGCTGGGAACTGATGATCAGTCCTTGCAGCCACACAGAGATGTGACACTTTGTTCTTTCTTCTGATGATGGTTTTTTCCACATCCAGAGTGCAACTTGGGCTGCAGATGCTCAGAAAGATCAGGGTCAGTCAAGATTTTACCTGCATGAAAACCAAACTCCTTGTTCTTTCTCCTTGTGAAAGGAGGCAGTTTGTATTTCAGGGGTATTTCTGTGTCCTCTCTTTGTGGTGCTTTGCTATGGGAAGAGTAGATAGCTTGAGCAAAGTTGCTTTCAAATACAGCTAGGTCTGCAGCCCACACAGCTGCTGCTGGAGCTGGAAGAGGTAGAGTTGACCACCATGGGGACTGCAGTGCCCTGGAGGTGGTCTCAGCTAGCTGGTGGCAGGCAGGAAAAGGTAACCTTGAATTGATTACTTGACCAGGTAACCTCTGGTCGTCTTAGGCAAGAGACTTCATACGTTGTGGGCATCCAGAGTTTTAAAACCACACATGACAGGTGTCTTGTGTTAGCTCCAATATGTGTGTCTTGAGTACAAAAGTTATCTCCAGATAACTCTAGTGCCCTGGTTATCACTTGAATTGCAGAGTGCTCATGCATGTTTCACCAGGTGCTTTGAGGTAGACTGAGTTTTAGTTGTTTTGTATGATAGCTTCAGACTAAATTGATTCAGTCTAAAGGTATTCAGAAAGAGTTTGAACCAGCTCGGACAGTTCACCCATAAGAGATTTAAATTCAAACTGACTAAATGATAAAACACAAATTTAGGAATTATTTTTTTCCCCAGCTTTCTAGAAATCTGTACTTCAGAGACTTCTCAAGCCTCAGCATCCTCAAACATGACTTCTCCATGGTTACTAATGTGGGGCTGGAGCTTTTCCAGCGTTACTGGATCCACTACGTTAGTGTCACATGCATGTGGTTGAAGAAGTGGGGAAGTGAAGCTCAGCAAGGAGATGGGAGTTCCATTAGACTTTCCAGAAGTCTTAATCTCTGAGCAGGAAAGCCCCCAAAGACTTTTGTGTACAGGGCTTTGGGAAGCCTATGGCCTTTTCCTTCCAAATCTGGAGTCATCAAATCGGGCTGTTCCCAAAGCCAGCCAGAGCTTCTCCGTGCTGCTAGTGCTAGTCAACAGGAAAGCAATGTAGGTGCGGTTCCTAAATTCTTCCCTGTGGACATTGGAGGCTTCTGAAGGTAAAGGCCATAGTAAAATAAGTAGCTGGTCTCAATCCTGACTGTATCAGAGAAGGAGAAAAATGCATCTGTGTCCTCTGAGCTGGTGAACACCAGTAGCTTTTGCTGAGCTCATTTTCTTGAGCCTGGTGGGTGTAATTGCAGTGTTGTAGAACCAGGTTTGGGGGCCGAGGGGAGTCAGAGAAATCACATGAAGACAGAACAGCAACAGAATTTGTGTCTAAGACTGTGGTAGTCCTGTCAGAGGAGGATGGAGGGTGTAGATCTGTAAACAGCAGAAATCTGTCACCTAGCAATACGCTGGTATCTTCAGATGAGTATTCACTCACAGCCCGAATCTGTTTTGTGGCTCCTAATATGGTGAAGCACGAGCTCCTGAATGGGATTATTTGGCAGGGCAGAGCAAAGGCAGTTGCTGCCCACTTTCCTGCTTCCTGCCTTGGAGCCTGGCTGTGCTCACTGGAGAAACTTTGTAAACATGAAACAAGAAGTTTGTGCGTTTCTTCTTAAATAGCTGGGAATGGACCTCAGTGCTGAGCACTGTTCACATTTACATGGAGAAGCAGACAATCAGTATTTTTCCTGTGATCCACTAATTGCAATCTTTTGGCCTGTTATAATGAGACTTCCACTGTTGTCTGTGTGTCTACACACTACATTTATAATTTTTATATATAAATAGATATATAAGTATGTACATTTGTAAAAATATTTGCACGATTCCTCTGTGGTATGATAGCTAATTGCCTTTCATTTGTGGAGCACAGACATTTGACATTAAATGATTAAAAGAACTTGCAAGCAATACACAGTTTCATAAAAATTAAGAATGTGGAAATTGTTTCAGTGTAATATTGATGTTGCACTTCATTAATACATTCTGTCCCTGGGATTTAGCTGAAATGGGGAAGCAAAAGCTCTCAGATACAGGTGGAAGTTAAAAGATCAACCAACAGTCAAGAATTGTTTGGCAGGTATTTTTAAGGAGACCAATTTAGACAAAAGTTCAGGTGTAGAGGATTTTTTTATTTGCTTTTTAGCCTCTACACTTTCTGTTGTATTTTACTGGATACGGCAAATATCAGTAGCTTTCTTAAGTCCTTCTTATACTATTTTTAATTCTGTCTGAAGACTTAAATGCAGAGAATTTAATTTTATTGTCCAACAATCTTTCCAAGACTTTTATTCCAGCTGTATTTTTCTGCAGTTTTTGCATATCCTTACAAAAGACAAACCTGCTGCTCTTTAACTTCTCAGTGGTCCTTAATTGATTTTTGTGTTAGGAGCTGATTTAATTTTGTTCTTTTTGAGAGGGTCCTTTCATAATAATTCTAAAAAACAATGGTGTATTTTGGAGTAAGTCCGTATCCAAAATGTGAGGTTTCTTTCATTTTCCCAATCGCTTTAAATGTATTTGTTTAATAGTATAGATTTTTAAAAGGTAGGTAAAACATCTGGGGTTTCTCTTAGCATTTCCTGGAGTATGTGTTTGCCCTTCATGGAACAAAGGCTTGTATTAGATAATGTGCTCTTCAAAGCAGTTGTGCATGGCTGCAGCCAGCCAGCCTTCCTGCATGGTCCTGCAAGACATGATTCAGGTTCTTCTTAGCTCATAGTCACTCCTGAACTTCTGTGCAGCAGTACAGTCTGTTGACACCTGCAGATAAAAAGGATCAACCCCACCCTCTTCTTCACTGGCCATCCTCTTCTGTACTGGGGGAGCAACAAGGAGCCTGGTAGAGCCTTGGCAAAGTCTCTAGACCTGTGGGGAACCTGTCGAGAGATGATTACTCACAGAATTTGTCTCTCTTCCCAGGCTGCCCTGGAGTTTGTCTCCATTCCAGGCTGCTCTGCAGCTGTGTAACGTGCTGCCAGGCAGATGGAAGAGCCATCATGTGGCCTTGTTTGGCCTGTGGGGCTCTAGGGTGAACTTAAGCTTGGTCTTAGAGCTTACCTGGGGAAGGAGAGTGTCACCCAGCACTTTGCTGCTGGAAGACTGGGGACCCATTTCCTGTTCCACTGCACATTTCCTGAAGGAATGTGAAGGAGCAAACCACTGAGGTTGCTGTGCCACTAAATGGAAGAGGGCTGGGAAGGAAGTTTGGACTCTGAACTGCCAGGCACCTCTGCTGCTTGGTCTCTCTCATACAGCTGTGACTTCTGCCAGCCTGTACTCTCTGAAGACAGTGCTTAGGCATGTCTGAGAGGGTTGTGTGCATCAGGACTCATTTCCAGTTGGCAGTATGGACAGAATGTCACCATATTTGACTCCTCCTCACTAAGCAATTGTTTAGTGCTGTCTGAATACCCTTGTGTCTTCAAACTGTGTCCCGGAGCATGCAGTACAGTCTAATCGGTCAAAATACCCCTTTACTGGGCTGTAGCACAGCCTTTGTACTGTCTCTACTATTCTGGACCAAAACCCTTCCCTCCACCCCCAAGGAGTCATGTATTAAGGCCACGGGGTTACTGCACATGGCCCAGAGGAGATTCAGGGCCAACTGCTGTGCAGCAGGGATGGGGCCTGGCCAGGCAGCTTGGCTTCAGGTTCAAAGGGCAGTCCTTGGCCCACCTTTCTCTAGTGGTGTAGCTCTAGCCTTGGTCACGTAGAGCCCTTGTTCTAAGCTCTTAAAATAGGTATAGTATCTCAGTTTGCCAGTGGCACCAAGAATCAGGGAACAGGCAGATACTCGAGGTCAGGCTGGATGAACATGGGGACACCTCTTGGACTTAAAATCCTGAGTGTTGTCTTAACCTTGTTACCTGAAAGTAAGTCTCCTGCTGATTACTCAGTCTGTTTTGTTTTCTCAGTACATGCCTTTGCTTGCAGATGTGGTTCAGACTTCTAGAGAACATTTTAACCTCCACAGCAAAATGTAAGCATCTGTTAGCTCAAAACTGCAACTAAACTGATTACATCTATAAGCTGTGTGGACAGTTTTATTTTGGAATAAAAGTGCTTTATCTTGATATACCTTAAGTCAATAAAATACCCTTTGTGTTTTTGTGAAGCCAAGGAGGAGGAAAGATTTGCATACAACACGATATTATCACTGCAGTTGTCAACTGTTGTCTTTAATGGAAATGTAAATCAGGTTGCATAAATCAGTTTGTCTTAAAAATCTTGCCTCTCTTACACTTCAAAATCCAATTCAGTTTTACTGCTGGCATCACTCTGCTCTAGAAATTGAAAGGGGTAGTCACTTGTTAATTTAGAAAGAGAAGGCTTTTTGGCTCAGATCTTTCATTTGCAGGATCTGCTGGGGTCCCTAAGACAGCATCTTTCCTGAAGGGCAGGTCTTTTGAATTGTGATGATGAGAGACCTTTATTCTAATTGTATTTGATAGTATGTTTTGAGTGGAACTGTGTTGAAGCCTCAATAAGCTGCCCTGCTGCCCTTGCACAAAAAGCAAATATGAAGCAAATGCCAGAGCTGCTCCCAAATGTATTATATAAACTCAGAATCTTTTCACTACTGTTTAACAAAAATTACATGAGAAAAATAACTGTACATTTAATTGCTTCATTTGCTCCCAACAGGTTAGGTGGCGGTCCTGATGATGCCAAGGAGATTATGCAGCACAAATTCTTTGCTGGCATTGTTTGGCAAGATGTATACGAGAAAAAGGTACTTAAACAACTGTTCTCCCCAGGTGAACTGTAGCTGTGGGTATCCTGAATGTTTCCAATTTTGTGCCCTCTGTAAGATACACAGAAACCCTCCATGGAAGAGGTTTGCAGTTGTTTTTAACAAGGTGAAAGTGTAGGTAGGTTTTAGACCTCTGTCCTTTCAAAGCATCCCTTGAGAGAGAGCTGGATGCAGTCATGAGTGCAGGAGAGAGTTGTGTGGCATCTATTCAGTATAATGTAAAACATACATCTGAATTACTGTTCTGAACAGGAGGCTATCCCCATTTTCACCCAACTGACAAGCTGAATACTTGGGCCTTGCTATTTTTTTGCAGTTTAAGGTAAAAAGTTGGTCAGTGGTGTTCAAATGTGAAGTTACTTGATGGTTGTTCTCTGAGTGGAGGAGAAATCACAGAAACTGGAGGCAATTTATTTATCCATAAGACTGAGAAAGCCTTCAGAAAGTGTCCCATAGTAGTACTGACTCGGATTGTTGTGGAAAATACCAGGAAACTCCAAATGTTACCTAGTTGGAGAAAACTGTGTATAGATTGAGACTGTGTCTGACCTTGGCATATCCAAGGAAGCTGGATTCTGGTGTCGCTCCTGTCCCGTTAACATGTGCACCTTCACTTGGATGTAAAACATTGCCTACTGTAGAAACAGCCATGCTGTGCAAATGAAGAGATTCCAAAAACCTGCCAGTAATTGCTGCCTACGTTCTGGGTGGTCCAAAGAGAATCCTGCAGCATTTACCTGAAATGCAGTCTCATGGATAAAAGCTGCATTTTGTTAGCTGCCTGGAGGTGTTTATGTGCTAAGCTTGGTTACCCACTATCTGCAGATAATGGTGACTCTGTTCATGAATATAGGCTTGGGGTAATCGAGAACACTGACTTGGTAATTAAGCTTTCTGGAAACATAGCTTTGCTTTGAATTATAAGGAGTTTTGAATAACTGGGGTTGTCCCAAGTATTTAAAATATTCATTAGAGTCTCCTGAAAGAGT